TGTGTGTGTGTGTGTGTGTGTGTGTGTGTGTGTGTGTGTGTGTGTGTGTGTGTGTGTGTGTGTGTGTGTGGGGTTAAAATATTTTGGAGCATCTTAATGGATTTTCTGACTAACATCATGGTTTGTTGTATGGTACAGTCTGTTGTGTTTAGATGATATGAGCATCTCTTACATTGTGCCCATGCAATTTATGAATGCAGCTAGCTAACCAATTATTATTGGCTAAAAATTGAATGTAGCTGTACCCTAAAAGGAAATTCCAAAAACAGCATTAGTCCAAACCCAATGGGTGATGTCATGACAGTTACTGCCTGTGAAGTAGCTGAAGTATCTTTAGGCAAATACAAAACCTTGAGTTGCTCTCAGTGTGTTCGTTAGAGAAGCAATGTTGGGTAGAAAGCACGTAGGTGCAGAATGCCCAAGCAGGAAAGTGCTATATTAGAATCAGTCCATTTAAGACACAGCAGATGCAATCAAATCATTATTATGATGATGCATGTTGGTTATTTTTGTACTTTGCAATAATTACTTCAGATATTTTAGATGCTTTGAGAATTTTAGCTCAGTACATTCACTTTGACATGTCTCTGTATACTGGCTTTGTTCAAATCAACAACTGAACAGTTATTTACCAGCAATAAAGATATGTTATTATGTATCAGCAATCTCTGCAAAATCTCCACGAGGAGCTACGAGATGCAACGTGTCATTCACACACATGTTCATGGTCAGCACACCAAACTTGTGAATATCAAAATTTGCCTTAAAAATGTTGGAATTTACATCATAAATAAGGACTAAGTTAAAAAAATGATTTATGATTTTTATTTTAGAAGAACATAATCAAGTATATAAGAGGTTTGAGAAAATCCTCAGCACAATATTGCTTCTCGTTTTGAAGTACCTCAGGGAAATGCTGATATTAAAAGGGAGCACGGTGTGTTTCAGCAGGTGTAAACACTCACCTTCTGTTTCAGAGTCAGCTTTGTCAACGAAGTAGATGACCACAAGGCCGATGCAGGCGCCGGTCATTGCTACGAAGATAAATATCAGACATATTTCCAGGGTGCTCATACCCCGGGAACGTCTGTGACCCTTCTCCACATCCATTTTCCTCGCAGTGCAGGAGACGGTGCCTCGTCCAACAATTCACCCCTTAATTGGCCACACATTGAGGACCATATCTAAACTTTAACACCACAGATGGACCTTGAGCTCAGTCAGATGTGGTATTGCAGCACACCAGCCCTATAGATATGTTAGAGCCATAAATTTGTATCACATAATACAGTAACAGAAAGTTAATGAGTACTGAGGTGGCTGCTTCCCCAATCAACAGGTCATTAGGACTCCATCTTTAAAAAACACTGATATAGTTGATAAAAGGCAAAACCTCTGACAAAAAGAAGGAAATTTACATGCATGCAAGGATTGTTTTATTTCAGTTGGTCATCACAATCAAAAAGCTGGAGTTCTCATGAGGAAAATTCATTATCTTGCATGTTTAATTTATAGCTCTTCCACACACTACACTCAGCATGTAATTCCCTGCTTGTCAACAGATTTTAATCAGCAATAAACCTTGAAGCAGAGGCTATCAGAGCTGTACAGCTACCACGTTGGACACTGGTAAGGCTTTGCTGAACTCCTTTTGCTGTGCATCTGCTAAATGCTCACATTAGCACGATAACACATTTTGCACTAATATGTACCATGTTCACGCTCTTGGTTTGGTGTTAGCATGCATGTGCTAATAAGCACTAAACAAAGGACAACCAAGGGTGATGGAAATCTCCTCTGTTCTGAATGTTAGTTTTCATTTTAAGGAACTTGATAAACGTTTTTTCTTAATAGTTTTGATTATAAAACCAGATGAAAAGTCAACACATCAAAGTTTTCCAAAAAAAGTGCCATCTGACCAGTTTTCAGATCCACAGGTGTCTCTCATGATCGGTGAGACATTTCAGGAACGAAAGAGAGTCGTAGTCGATGTGTTGTTAGTGACAGAAGATCTGCAAAGTTATTAAAATGGATCGTGAGGGGACATTTAGTTTTTATTATAAACTTCCATTGTAATGTGCCTAGTTGTTAAGATATTTCACTCTTGGTGGCACTAAAAAAGGCCATCAAAATCTATAAAATTTGTCCCTGGGAAACACAGATGTTCAGACTATTGTCTGTTAAATTGAACGGATATTCCTACGCCACAATCCTGGTAGAAATAATGGCACAGCTAGAGGCCCAATAAATGCATTTGATAAATTGGCCTTGATCCAGACAAAAACTGAAACTCTTCCAAATGGTGACTGTTTTGTCCATCCAAAACTTTGCTTTCACAGACCTAAAAGAGTTAATTTCTCCACTGCTTGAGGTAAAGCAGACAATGGGATTAACTTCCTTTGCGGAGGTGCAGAGAGCGCAGAGTGACAGGGGCCGTGCTGTAACAAAAGCACCGAGGTTAGAGGTAATAAGTTTCACAATGGGGATCTTCATTTTGGCCTGAATCTCCATGCATACAAAGACGCTCGATTGGGTTTTTATCGAAATCATCTCCTAAATTCAGTCTGACCGTATTTGAATCTGAATCAATCTGTCCGCTGGTCCCCTTTAACACTTCATTTTCTCTCGAGATAAGGACTTTCTTTCTATTTTACAAAAGGCAACGGTGTGACAAAAGCTGCTTATCTCTCCCTGGGGATGCAGAAGAAAATGGGGGTAAAAAAAAAAATCATTCTTTAGGCAGAATGATGATTTTGCTGCAGTGTCAGAAACCTATTGCTGATGAAACTATCAGTAATTAATGACACTGTGCATGCATGATTCCTGCACCGGTGCCACTCTCTGTGCTTCATCTTTATCAGTATTTGTTTTGGATCTTCTGGTTCCACCAGGAGACTGATTATTTATGGGCACATCTGTCAGCCATAATGAAGCCAGGAAAGGTGACCTTTGTGTGAATGACTTAGTGTGTGTGCATGTATTTTCTTTTTTTTTTCCTCTTCCCCTTTCTGCACATACAGTATATGCACTGTTGAAAGGTTACCAGTGCATGAGCTTGTGAGCTGAATAGTAAGCAATCAATGATGAGGTCTGAAATGCATCCAAACATATGCAGAGAAGACAGGCGAAGGACGGGGTGCAGATACAGAACAGCGAAGTTTAAAGAAAGAGGCACAGGAAACATGGATTGTTCGATCACACGTGCAGGCCAACACTGCACCGCAGATAAATGTAGGCCACGTATTCCACTGGGATCCGATCAGCCATCGGGAGGACAAGCCTCACTTCCAGCTATCTGGATAATACAATACGAGGATAAATAAGGGCGGGGGAGACCATTTTCATGGGAAACATTCTGAGCAGAGGAAGCCAGCAGAAGCTTTAATTACTGCACTGTTACTGGCTTATATGCTTCATTATGATATCATCGTTGCAGCGAGAAAGGGAGAGAGGGGAAATGGGGAGCTGGAGTTGAAAGGGGGTGGGCACAGTGACAAAGAGAGGCACGGAGATGAAAGTTGGCGGCGAAAAACTGAATGGAAACGGCTGAAAATGGAGATAGTCAGGCAAACTTTCCAGGAAGAATGGAAGCAAAATAAGGTCATACGTACTGTAGCTGTTTAACATCAAACCGGCATGTGTAAAAAAAACCCCAAACAAACGATGAATATACTGAAAAGTGTAAGTGTACAAATATGTTTGAGTAAGTGTTTGAATATTTTTGAAAAAAAGGAAGCAAATAGATGCTTTTTTGGCTCTGAGTAGATCTGTAACTGTATATGATATTTGGTGAACAAGTGAAAAAGATTTGCATGAATAATTTTCAATATGTGAGTGCATAAAGAAGATTTGCACAAAGGTTAGTAGTTTCACAGCAAAGCTTTGCAGTTAAGTTACTGGAAACACAGCAGCAGTGTTAGTGGAGAGTGATGGCAATCGTTGCACTGCAAACTATCATTTAAGTTAGATACAGGATCTAAGTTAGATACACATCTTCTCTGTGTTCTCAGATATGATCAATTACTTCTGCAAATCTTTTCCATATAAGTTTTTGTGCACAGCTACAGATCTCCTGTTTTCTACGTATTCAAACGCCTGAATTCACCTGATCAAAACATTTCAATGCATTCACACGTCTGAATATATATATACACGAGCTGTTTTCACACACTCGCTAATGGTGCGTCACAGCTCTGGTGTTTCTGACGTTATTTTAAGGATATTGTCTCAATAATAAAGGAAAGGAGATGAATTTGTCGCAAATTCTCTGTGATCAGCAGCCACCACTAATTACTCACTCCACAATCTCTAAATATGATCTGTAAATATTATTAGCGCTCATCCCCAAGATAAGAGCACATCTAATGTCCCACAAATGATGACGAGGACATATTTTATCCCTGTGATGGTCTGGATAATAGTAATGGCTTCTTTCACGGGGCTCCTGTAAGAGTTTCTATATGAACAAGAGACTCTTGTGTGTTTATGAAGCTAACTGGGTCACCGTGAGCAGATCTCAAATCCCAATACCACTGCAACTTATCTTGGACTTCAATTATAGCTCCAAAATGATGCTGCTGCTGCCGCTGCCCTCAATTTCTTCCAGAATCCAAGGATGCTGTTGCGTATGGCGGTGTTTACACTTTGAAGTGATTAAAAAACACACATGTTCAGTGGCATCCAAATAGGACTAAGTCAGGCAAGATCTCCACTCAAAAACATCTCATTTGGTATTTCAAAGTGCCTTCAAACACTGAGACTTCTAGACTGCTATTAATTATCCAAGTGCAGCAAAAACAGAGCAGCTGAAGGTTAATTACTTTATGCACAACTCATTTCCATAAATGTGTGCATTCTCTTCAGCATAGACTAGTGTGAATGATTTGCCTTTTTATAACAAACTGGTAAATGTTTCACTTCACACTGAAATGCCACTTTTTTTCTCCTCCTTGAAACATTGTGTCACGGTTTCAGCTCGTCAACTCAGCCACACTAGTTTCAGAGTCTCAGCAGGAATCAGGTTAGACCCTAGGGCTGTAACAGAGGGACTCCTTCTTCTCATGGACTACCAGTCTTTAATTTTAGCTTATGACACAGCCTGGGAGTTTCCTCGTTAAGTGGTAACACTTGAGAGATTATTATTTCGCTACCAAGCTGTGCGTTAGGGCTGTGCTGTCGCCTTAATCACCAATGTTTCTACCAGCACTTTGTTAGATGTTATGCAGTCTGTGAAAATGTGGTCCAACTTTGCACTTCATGACACACATGACGACAGAATGGCAGATACACATCACCAGACTCCTCTTAAAAATACTCATTAATGCCAATACCTAATCAGCTAATCACACAGCAGAAGCATTTAGGCATGTAGACATGGTCAAGACCTGTTGAACTTCAAACTGACCACCATAGTTGTCATAGTTGTTGATGCCACATGAACTGGTCCGAGTATTTCATAAACTGCTTATGTCATCTCTGGGTTGTAAACAGAGCGTTCTTTATTCTCTATACACTGACTGAAAATGCCTTGTTGGTGCCACAGGTCAGAGGAAAATGGTAAACTGCTTTGAGCTTACAGGAAGGCAACAGTAACTCAAATAACTACTCATTACAACCGATGTTTACAGAAGAGCATCTCTGCATACATCCAACTACGGCAGCAGAAGACCACAACAGGATTCACTCACGTCAGCTAAGGAAACTAAGGCTACAGTTCACGTGGACCAAAACTAGACAATAGATGATTGGAAAAAAGCATGAAATCCATCCTGCCTCATTTCATCGGTCCAAGCTAGCTGCTGGTGGTGTAAGGGTGGTGTAAGGGTGTGGAGGATATTTTCTTTGCACACTTTGGAGTAAATGAGCATCATTTATGCACCTTTGTCATATCCACAGGTTTAGGTGTGTGACAGGCAGAGCTGTGGACCCAAAAACGCAGGACTGAATTAATAATCAGCGTTAATGCTGTTAATGCTGTTAGTGCAGACATGGGTACATGACTGGGAAGGCTGAAAGACGCAGAGATGAGAATA